AAACCATTTGCAAGTAATAATTTTTTTTGGAGATAGTCTAAGGCCCGGTAGTTTAGATTGATTACTCAATTTGTAAATTAAAGATCACGTGCCACATAAAATTCTACAAGGCTAAAGCAGACCTCTCATTTTGCAAACCGTGATAGTTAAAAAATATTTGATTTATATAGACAATATTTATTATCTAGTAATAAAAATAAAAACTAAATGTAAAAAAGAAAAATCACCTTTTATTTTTTTTTTGAGAAAATCATTTTCGCCTTAAAGATAATGAATCGCTTCTACCGTATAAGTGCGTAATAACGTTATTTCGAATTTTCGAATTTTTTTAAAAAATGGCATATTTGACTCAAAATAATGCCCATGCGCGTTTCAAAATAACGCGCCCTATATGTACCAGATTATCTTTCGGAATCTTCAAATATAATAGGCTTAGGTTCGACCTCTAAATCTGAACCCTATTTATTATCATATGATTAAATATGATTAACAATATATCTAATTTATCCGCCTTTATCTCAAAAAAACCAAGTATCTTTTTTTAGTTCTATTATGATGTTCTTAGTAGTTGAATTTTTTTTTTCCAAAATTAGCATAATGATTCGAATTATCGCGCATGCACGTCCCGAAATAACGCGCAGGGGCGCGTTATTGCGCGCTTATACGGTAAATGTGCATGACTTAATACTGAAACTGATCTTTCTGTAATGGCAATTTCTTAGATGTTTAAGAATTGTTCCGTATGTTAAATCATCACATATAATAAATAAAGCTTATTCTATTGCTAATTGACTCGAAGTTTTGAAGTTTGAGTTGGGAGTATATAGCTTTTTTTTTTTAACATCTGGTTGCTTTGATGGAAAAGAATACTTTTACAGGGCAATTATTTTCTATCTCATTTTATTGATTAAAGCTGCTTTATTTAATGAAATTTATAGAATCAATAAATGACATATCATTTGTTGATCAATGGAAATTCAAAAACGACGATAGGAATCACCAGCTAAGAATAAGACATTCATACTTCCTATTTTAGAATTTGTGCAAACTTTATGAACCCCATAAATCCTGCATATTACCATTGTTTTTACAATGATAAAATGCAGGATTACAAAATTCATTTATCGTATTAATTCGAAAACAGAATGCCACATATTCATACTAAACGTAAATCAAAGAAACAAAGAAACAGGTTAGAAAATCTCAAATATGAATATGAATGGATCACTATGAGATGCACAATTAGCATCACTCAACCCAATATGTGTCTTCCTTGATAGGATTCTAAAATCCGGATACAAATCCGATATCGGTCTCATTTAAATTTATTTACAAATTAACTTTGTATCGATCTGCGGTAATTTGTTTTTTCGCTAGCGTAAATATCATGTGAAAATATAAAATTTATAAAAAGCGATAAAGTACAGAAGTTTAAGAGAAGAATTTCACGTTTATCGTATTTTATGCATTGTCCTACTATTTAAATGTCACAAAGTTTGTCCAAACATGTTCCTGCATTTTAAGGGAACATTAAAGTCAGTCTGGGGTTATTGTTATGCATAGATATCTGATTAAAGATACGAGTTATGCAATATGTAAATCAATATCTGAACCTGGCTTTTAACGAACCCCCTTTTTTTTAGGGACAGGCGTCTACGCAGAAAATTTAAAAGTTCCAGACATTTCACCATCGATACCATTTTAACTACATACCACATATTTGATATTGTAGTTAAAAAAATTTTTATCCTTTTAAAATGAAAACATTACCAGCCGAGTGTCTTTTTAGAATATTTGAAATCTTTGGATTTGACTACGATTTTAAAAATTTATTTTCATTCCTTCTTGTAAACCGCCACTGGTGTAGAATTATTGTACCTATATTATGGAGTGAACCAACGGCTCGTTCTCACGATAGAAGACTTATAAGAATATATCTTTCAGCATTAAATGCCGAAGAGCAAACTCTATTAATTCCCTTTAAACTTACCCTTCCAAATTATCCAAAGCCATTATTTGAGTACGCAAATTATACTACATCTGTTGGCACTTATTTACGCAATGCGATCAAAAGCTGGCTTGGTGGATATTTCTATGAATCTTGTAAAGTTGTTAACGCCGTCGAATATTCATTAATTACAATGTTCTTACGAATAAGTAAAAAACTTAAAAATTTAAGTTTTAATGGATCTATTTATAATGAAACAATATCTAACCATCTTTATAGAAACACTACTATCACCTGTTTATACTTTCACACTAGTGATTTTGATTCCAAGACTGTGGAAATAATTACTGAAATTATTGATAAATGCACAACACTCACATCTTTACTCATTTCTTGTGATAAACTTGATTCTTGGGGATGGAAAGCAATAGCGGATGCTCTTTGTAAGAACACTACTCTGACCTCTTTAGAAATTTCTAATAATCACCTTGATTCTAAGGAAGGAATAGCAATAGCAGATGCTCTTCACAAGAATACTGCTCTGACTCTTTTAGATATTTCTTATAATCACCTTGGCTTTGAAGGAGTAAAAGCATTAGCAGATGCCCTTTGTACGAATGTTACTCTGACCTCTTTAGAAATTTCTAATAATCGACTTGGTCTTGAAGGGGTAAGAGCAATAGCAGATGCTCTTTGTAAGAATACTACACTGAGTTCATTAGACATTTCTCACAATCAACTTGATTCCGAAGGAGGAAAAGCAATAGCAGACGCTCTTTGTAAAAATACTACTCTGACTTTTTTAAATATTTCTCATAATCAACTTGATTCTGAAGGAGGGAAAGCACTAGCTGAAGCTCTTCGTGTAAACACTACCCTGGCTTATTTAGATATTTCTCACAACAAACTTGATTCTAAAGGAGGAAAAGCATTAGCCGAGGCTCTTTGTGTTAACACTACTTTGACTTATTTAGATCTTCTAGTCAATAAAATGAGTTTTGAAGGAACAAAAGCATTGATAAATGCTCTTCATACAAACTCTACTCTGAAGTTTTTATATGTTTATAATAATCAAAGTAATTTGGTTGGTGCAAATTTTAATGAACTATTTTTTTTTCAATTATAAAACAAACCTATGGTCTTTGTACATAAAATTTTTAGCTCAATTTTTTTTACATTAGGGTTAGTATTTAGAGCTATGATTAAGGTTTGGAAGCGGTTTTATGAACGTAGAACACTTAGAACATTTTACAATGATTAATTAGCTAGTTTGTAAGATAATATGTAAAAAGTCTTTTTTTTTCTATATTTTTTAAAAAGCAAAATATTAACAATGATTAAGTTGTTAAAAGATATTAAAATTGTTATAGTAGAATATAAAATAAAAAAATAAATTTAGTACACCGATATACGCGTTTCGAAACACGCTCATTGGCGCTATTACGCGTAAATAGTATTATTTTCGATCACTAACGAAAAAAAATTGTATAGTGTAATTTAATATTTAATCAGTTATAAGTTATACTACAAACAGATTAAATTAAAAAAAAGTCCTTTTCTTCTAGATTCAATTAGATACACATTCAAATGGGTAATCTGTTTAGACTGGGAAAATAGCATCAAAAAAATCTAGTCTGGTTCTAATTATACAAAACATCTGCGATTTGATACTTTTCCAAGGGAAATTACAATAGTCATGTAATAAATGAATATTGAATTTTAAAATTTCATAAACAAGAGTCAAATAGTATCATTAGTACTAATCCAATTTAGCCTATTTAAATAGAAATCAGGAATTTGTCTTGCTCGGCGTTGTTCACTTCACCGACCAATCATTACGCCAAAAGTTCACATAGCCGACATCACATAGGGTTAAGGCTAGCATTTTATTAGTAGTAGGTATATATTTTTAGTAGATTGTCACTTGGTATGGTGGGATGTCGGTGAAGCGGATCCTTATTATTAAGGTATATTATACAATGAATAGCTTTTGAAGGATCTTTGAATAATTATATAAAGAAAATTTATTCGGTCTTCTAGATTTTAATTCCATATTATGTAGATATTTAAAATTTCAAGATTTTATCTTTTTACAACAAATAAATTTTTGAGTTTTTAAACGATATTTACCCGATATAAGAACAACATTTTCAAAAGTAGTCATTCGATTAAAATTTATTAAATGAGCAAATACTTTTCCACTATCTGATACGTCATGATTTATGTTAAAATAACTTTTTATGAATACTGTATACAGTATATATAATATTTGGTTTTTAACTATTTTTAACCAGAGGTGATGTATTAAAATTTAGGGTTAGAGTGCAGTTTTAGGTTTTTTTTTTTATAATCCCATTTACTTATCACGTTATTGAGATATAGCACCCTGGTGACGTACAGGGCAAGTTAGCAATACGTAGTCATATATTTATATTATATTTACTGTAACAATGACGTGTTTACTTTTTAAAAAAATCGTATATATACTGTATACATAAACCCTGAAAATTCTTAAAATAAATTCTCACCAAAAGGGAAGCTGAACAACTTTGTGCAACTAGGAACACCAAGCTTCGTAAATCCGCCAGACCTTGAAGAGAATACTTCACGAAAAAAAAAAATGAACCGCAAAAAAGAAAAAAAATTAAGCGCAAATAAAGACTACTGAAATTACTGAAAGAAACGGCCTAAAGCTCTAATTACTGGTGAATGTGAATTCATTGTATGTAACTTCTCCATATTTGAACTGTTAATGTTTTAAGCTTTTATAGTATATAATAATTCGGTAACTTTAATCGGATATTAGGGCAAGCGTTTGGCCAGATACTTTATGTTCGAATTGTAGACATCTCACAAGACTTATCTGAAAAACTTAGAAAGTTATTGTAGCAAATTTATTTACGGTGATTTAGAAATTTATCTATATGTCGCAAGGGTGTTAATTGGGGGCTTATTAATGGATTAAATGATTTTGCCACATACAAAAATAACCATTTAATTATCGCAAACATAGTACAAGCTTCAGTTGAGACAGAAATAGTAAGGATCTTTTATGCATCATCAAACAAGTATAAACCCACAAGAAAAACTGTTAAATCATAATGAATTGAATCTAAACCTAAAAGAAACCGACGAACCTGATCCTAATCCGGAAGGCCTATATGGTCGCGGAAAAGTTAACAGCAAAGTTTTTTTTAATGAATGACAAAAAATAGAATTGGAAGATTTCGCAAAGACATTTGCTCAATTAATGAAAATAGAATTATGAAATGGAGATATGAGGTTTGAGTGATCAACATCGTAGTTTTTGTACATAAAAGATTGTATCGACGCTATAGTGAAATTAATTAGTCTAATCCATTAAATATTGGATCTGAATATGCCATTTCAATGAATGAGTTAGCTTATATTACTTTTGAGACTATTGGACAAGTCAAGTTTGATGACAAATGAGAATAAGCCTGTTAGTGCTCAAAATAGAAATTCAGATACTACACTTATTAATCAAGTTCTTGGATGGTCACCTAAAACATCGATTCGAAAAGATATGGGAAAAAGAACGCAACAAATGTGAAAATGAGTTAGTAAAGAAAGAATTAAAGAAAGTTACGAAAAAGAAATGTAACGATAATGTTAAAAAGAATTAACTTCAGGATTCTTCTTCTGATTACGTCTCGTGGATTAGAAAGCCCCGATGATTGCCTTAATAATCTTAGTAATTTTCGTCCAGTGTGTTTATGAAACAGCACAAACAGATATTGTGGTATGAATGGTATTAAATTTTCGATAGTTTTTTATAGGGATTGATAGAGATGACGCTCTATTCAATCCTATTGAGAATAATATAGCCGAATAAATATTAAAGGAACATGGATTAATTGATGTAGAAACGCGTGAATTTGATTTACCTCTGGATTCATATGTAATGTAAAATTGTCATGATTTAGCAATAGACACGTATAATCAGATGTGTGGATATACGTATAGTACTTATGGGTGATAAAAATTTCTAATGAAAAAAAGTGACATGCGGTTTCGGAATCATTCAACTAATAGTACTGTTCAGTGTGATACTCCAAATGAAAATTATGATCAATATAATCAACTTTCAAATGAAAATAGCGACGAAAATAATCATTCAAGTGCAAGTACACAAAAAAAAAAAAGTAAATAAGATAAAATAAGCATATAATAATAAATAATAAATAATAATACTAATATTAATAAATATAACTTATTATTTAATAGAAGTCTATGGGAAATAGTGAAAGAATCTTAAGAAAAAAATCCGAGGAAAAGAATCAAGAATTAAAGGATAAGAATGTAGAATTGAGGGAGAAAACATAAGGCTAGAAGAGTTTTCACAGAATTAACGTTTCCGGGATTTCCAACATTTTCCAGTAATGCGTGGCTCATATTGATACATTTTGAGCCATTTTCTGATGTATACAAACCAGAATGCAGACCCTTTCCTATTTCATCGTCGATTTAGAATAAACTTAGAAATCTTATAGAAGAAAGTAACAACCACGGTACCAAAGAATGTTTTATTACTAGAGTTTCTCTGTTCTTGATAATGCAATATTATCCGTTGAAAATGGATGCGCAAAGATAGAAAATCCTACTCCTAAACTCCTTATAGTTGTACCAACATATAGGGTTCAAATGCAATATCTAGAGACTGTAATCAAGCTCAAAAGATCTGAAACTGCGTCTACATCAATAACATTCATTGTGGATAATCTAATTTCACTGTATATTCAAGATTTTTTTTAAAAAAAATTGAACATGACGCTTTCATTGGAATTCGTGTGCAAGAAAAAAAATATTAGTGCGAGTGAAGCAAGAAATAGAGAACTATTCGAATCAAATACGGATTACGTTTTATTTCTAGACAACGATTTAACTCCAGAACCTGATATTTTAATAGAAACAAAAAAAGTAGTTCGAAAATATCCAAAAGCCTGCGGTTTCGTAGGTTGTACGAAATTCCACAGCCGAGTAAAACTATTTTTACAAGCGACGTGAAAATGTCAGGAGCAACTTATTTTTTTGGATATTGCTGAACAAATTGAGGAAAACGCTCCATGGGGAGTGACGTAACTTATTAGTCTGCCGTTACAAAAATAATATCAAATTTAATCCGAAAACAGGAAGTGATGATGGCAGTTTATTTTTTTATTTTTTTTGCAAAAAGGACAATTTTTTACACGAAACATTAAAGACAGTGAAGGGTTCAGAGGTGCACGCTCAATAAGAGCAATACATCCCTGGTGGAGTAACGGAAAAGATCATATGTTAGGTTTTTAAATGAGCATACGATGACGGGAAACTAATTAAGATGTACCCAGAATATGCGTATAAGACCGTTTCCTCAATACCGCAGAACTTTATTAATTCACGTGTCACTTCTTATACTGTTATAGATTTCTTTTGACAAAACTTTGATAAGCGGCCAAATGGTTACTTATCATTTCTCCTGACATATTCCTTTCCCATTCCACAACATATCCCTATTCGTTTTTTATAAAATTTTTTTAATTTTCCTATTTTTTTTTTTAATTTTTAATTTTGTTTATTATCCGAAGTTATAGAATTTTAAGATTCTGTGAACTGCCAGCAGGTCAAAATACTATTGTAGTAGTTATTTATTATACTGTAGTGGTTATAATCAAGATTCAGTTAAAAATAGTGGATAGAAGGGTAATATGGACATTATATAAGTATGTTGTCTATTGAAAAGTTTGATAAACCAACAAGAGAACCACCACCATACGCCTTAAACATGGTACATATGAAAAATTTGAGGATAATAGGTTAATTGCACCTGGTACAAGAGTATCAAAGATGATAAAGGTTACACCTATTTATGATCATACTATTAAATTTGGTCAACGAAAAGATTCCCATATGCATAGAGATACTTCCACGTCAATGCGAAGTACTGAAAATGGTATTGTCAACCAAGTGATGGTAACGAAAAATACTGAAATAATGAAATTCGTTAAAATAATTGTTCCGAGAACAAGAATTCCATAGATGGGTTGATAAGTTACGCATATTATTATTTTACTGGTATTCACACACGACATTACAATATATAAATTCGCTAGTCGGCATGGGCAGAAAGCATTTTTGGATCTGCTTATAAGCAAGAAGATATGCCATTTATTCTGAAGGATTACGCTAGTATTATTATATGTCACGGATGATGGTGAAATCGGATGATCGTGAAATCAAACCCTATTTAATATACGATTTTTAAAATTTTTAGTG